CCTGACTCAACTTGGGGTACTCAACCCATATGGATTATCAATCGTCTGCGGCAGGAATGCCTCTTCGGAGGCAGGAAGCCATTACGCTTCATGGATCCAGCCAACTTACCCAGCGCAGACACCACGAGCTTCCGTGCTTCGTCGACCTCCGAATCCGGCGGTAAACGTTTGTTCGACATCATCTCGGGAATCGCTTCTTCAGAAAGCCAGTGCGCTTTCGCCAGGTTTGTATACCCCTGTTGGCGTTCCATCTCGTTCTGCATCTGTTCCTTTGGGCTTCCTGGCCGCGCCCTAATTGCGTTCTCGAGGCCCATCCGGCCCTTGAGGAACCACCATAGCGCTGCCCTGATGAGTTCTGGAGTGGAGCAGGCGCCCACTGGCCGAACGGTCTCGGCATGCAATCGGAACAACTCGCTCAAGTGGCGTGTGCGTGTGACAAATATCATCAAGGCATCGTCCCCCAGTGGCGTAGGGGCGTCTTGCAAGTTGAAAGAGGGTTGGCGGTTGGTTGCCGAAGAAGGTGGGGCCATCGTGCTGCCAGCATAATGCGAGTTGACGCTCTGTTGACGCGAAATGTTGGCTTGCTGACCGTGACCGCTGAGAGTCGAGTAGACAGAGGATGGGCTCTGGTCTGGTTGAGACGGGGGCTTGTTGTACTGGGTATTGTATTGCGTTTCGGGAGAGATGGGGCGCGCGCTGGAATACTGTGGTGGTGTGGCGGCGGGGGCCGGTCCCAATGCCGCAGGGTGTGGCGATGAGCGCAGCCGGTCAAGTGGCGACTGCTTGATCTCTATAGCATCTTCCCAATCTCGCTGCTGCGCATGCTGCTGCTGTTGTGCCTGAGATGTGCCCGCAGACCGGGCCGCTTCCGCGAAAGCCTTGCCCTCCGCTTGCCGCATCTCCGCCTGCTGTATCTCGAGGAACGACCTTCTGTTTTCATCTTTGGCTCTGCTGTTTGAAGTGTCCAAAAACCTAGTCCGCGCGGCCACTCCAGGCACGTCGTCTTGCCTTGAGGCAGTGGCTTCTCTAGCGGACGTGTAGCCAGTCTGGGTGCGCTTGATAGGATTCGGGATAAAATCGTCATACGGTGGAGGGTCGGCTGGTTTTGGTGGCTCTTCGTACGCACTCGGGGCCCGGGCGGACGGAGGCGGTCGTAGCTTCTTCTGCTTGGATATTTCTATCGTGGGGTGCGGTGACTCGTCACCACCCTCGCCGATCACCTCGGGTTGGGTGTCAGCAAAGCGGACAATGCAACCTTTTCTGTTTCTTTTGGGCGCGCGGGGCGGGGTCTTGGGGCGAATTTGCAGGGGAAGACTGTTCTGCGAACCGCCGCCGACATCGTGAGCTTGAGGGTAGCGCGATGCGTTCCTCGTGTCAAGCTTCGAAAGCGTGGGTAGAGGCGGCGCCGAGGGGGCAGTGGTAGGGTGAAGCGAGTCGGCGGACGCATGTAGGAAGTCGTTCACATTGAGAGCATTGTCGGTCTGCTTTCGATCTTTGTTGTCCTTGGCACCAAACAGCTTACCCATCAAGCGACCGCGACGTGAGGAGCGGCCCTCTTCGACCTGGGTGTCACTGTCCATCGTAGAGGGAACGACGCTCGTAGAACGCCGGCGTCATGAGAAGAGGTCCTGCCAGCTGACGAGAGCGCATTAGCATGAGCGAGAGCATTGGCAATAGCACCAACAGGAACGGCTGCAAGAAGGCGTGTTGCTAGGCCTGCCTACTGCTCGGGTGCGCGTGGTCTGACAGGGCAACAGTACTGACCTCGTGGGCGTCCTGACGATTATGTACGAGCTGAAGCTGACGAGGGGGGGCGGTAGAATGGAGGGGGGGCACAGCGCCTCAATCGCGGGTGCAAGGGCAGTCACGATTGGAGCTGGTCGATTGTCCAGGGACGGGTAGCGCCAAGACAAGCACGTGTGGTTTGTGGGATTCCGCGCACGTAAGCCCGGGGCAGTGCGCTGCGCAGCAACTCGAGATATCGAGGGCCGAGAAAATGCTGTCTAGGAGGGAGAGGGAAAGAGGGCAAGAGAGCAAAAGGAGCAGTAATGGACAGGTGTAGATTGACGATCACAGTCGCACCAACGGGAGGGGCTATTGTTGACACGGAATCTACCAAGGGAGGAAAGCCGGGGCAGGGCCAGTCGGGTTGGGCAGGCATGGACAGGCAAGGGGGAGGGAGGGTAAGGGCCAGGCAGGTACAGACGAACGGGTCAGTGGGATGATGCAGTGACCCTGACTGATGTAAGATGGTGCGAGCGAAGGTTCCATGCCCCATTGCAAGAGGCCTCGTCTGGGAAAAGAAACCTGCGGAAAGGCGCAACCTAACACCACCAGCGAAGAAACGGGGAGGAGCCGACTCTCCCTCTGGGAACGCAAGTAAACTGGGCGGCGGGGCGGCAGGGCTATTGTGCTAACCAATGG